CACCTGATTAATTGATCATCTGAAAGTGAATGCACCTCTACGAAAGGAGAAGTTTTGTCAGTTTGCAGGTCTGGAACAATTGGGTCAGTGTTAATGCAATACCAACAAGGAAAGACATCAGCTTCACATCAATCAGGGGAGGGTTATAAAGTCACGTCGAAACCATTTGAAGTCCATCATTCAGCAGTGAGAAGGATTATTCACAAATGATTCAAGATAGTTGGCAGTCTTCCCAGGAGTGGATGTCCCAGCAAATACACTCCAAGGCCAGACCGTGCAATGCCTGTAGTAACTGCCAAAACCCCAAGAGCTACGTCTCTACAGGACTCAGTTAGCAGGTTAAATGTTAAAGGCCTTTTCCAAAACAGGACTTTAAACCTGGCTGGGGTTTAAGGTCATTGTGGAAATGCTGGGGTGGGAACTTATAAGAGCTGTGCATACATGAATGACTGCAAACCCCAATGAACTGAAACAATATTGTAAAGAAGAGTGGCCCAAAGGTTTTTTGTTTTTACAAGAAGATACTTGATTATTTTACTGATGCTCTCTCCTGATGCTTGACGTTTTTACAGTAATAGTGTAATTTCTGCAGTAAGTTATTTTGCAAAATTATAATATATTTGACAGAAAAGAAAAATACCTGTTATTCATATATATAGAGATGAGTACAAGCTAATTGTGAAAATGTCCCAAATGTGTTGTAAAACAAACAATTTCTGGAAATAAAGAATTTTTATTTCATTTATAAATTTTACATGTAAAGACATATTAACAGACTCTCTTTAATAATTTGGTCCTAATTCTGTTTCCCACAGAATTGCACTCGATTAGTGGCAGCAGTGTGTGCCCAAAAGAGGTGGCACACAAGCTTTTGCAAATATATTCATGTATCATACTACAAATACTTTTAGGAAATAAATAGCAGAACAAAAATTGCCATTATTCTGAACTACAGTTAGTAATAACAATCCTTATTTCTCTCTATAGCCTCAGTCAGCTTGGCACAGAGCAACATTTGAACCTATTATCTACATATAACACGAGGAAACATGAGATGGGACGGGTCAGTGGTAACCGTTTAGCATCGACTGAAATTTAACTGTAACAGAGGCGACCGCCACTTTCTTCACAGATTAAAAAAATAAACATGTAAATAACACATATGGATGTTGCTTTGGTGGTTTGTCTATATCTGAGATTGAGTAATTCTGATTCCAGCAGTGATTGGGAAATTGTATTGCAAGTATAGTCAGTACATTTGATGTAACAGTCAAATAAACTTCCACCAGCTCCCAGAATGCTTTGCTGTTTACACAATACTACTGGATTTTTGAAATACAGCCTGCTTACTGTAAAATCCTGCTGCAGTTTTTACAGGAATTTGTTACAGTGTATTTATACAAGTGTTGAACAACTAACACACAGCCATGTTCCTGTTTAAATAGATGAAAGGGCTTATTTTTCTTCCCTTGTTTGGCCTTCTTTAGTAAAAGACCAAAAGTTAGACTCCATTTCATTTTATTCTAATGCTGGTCCGTTTGAAAAACACCCTGAAAATGTACATCTCCCAGTCTCAATGAAACTGATGCAACGATTTCTTCTTCTAGCACAGACTCCTTCAGGGTAGAGATGTCCTGATATAGTTTTAGACATTTTTAGATTTTTAGGCTCTTTCAAAGAATATCTTGCACATCTTATGTATCTTTGCAACACCTAACCCAGTGAGGCTCTGTCAGTGTGCAAGAAACTTCTTTAACCTGGGAAACTAAAGAAAAAGAAGGCGTAGGCAGAAACAAAATGCTGCTGGTAACAGCTGTGGTGAGATAAAGCAACCTTGTAGTAATTCAAATAGTTCACCCAGCGCTGTGTTGTGTCAGTGTATGAAATGTGGTGTGAAGCACTTCATGGCACTTCCCTACAAGCTTTGAAATATGGCTCACACTTGGACTATTCACTCCATTCAAATCAGCTCTAAGTTAATACATAGGTGCTAAAGAACATTTAAAAATAGCACAGGTACATACATACAAAGGGTAAAAGTTCAAGACAGATGACAACTCATACTGAGTTAAAAGCCAAAGAGAAAAGGTTTTAAAAACAGCAAAGGATATAGCTTGCCTGCTTCTGGGGGCGGCTCATTCCACATTTTAGGAGCCAAAGCTGCAAAGGCTTTGTCTCCTCTGGTTTTATAAAATGTCTTTGGGACAGTCAAAAGCTGATCTAAGAGCACGTGACGGCATGTAAGGGTGAAGCAGCTCAGACAAATAAGAAGGGGCAAGATCATTAAGAGTCTTAAAAACAAATTACATCATTTTAAAAGGGATTCAAAACTGAACGGGAAGCCAGTGAAGGGATGCTAAAAATTGTGCAGCAGCATTTTGTACAAAGTGGTAGATGTGAGAGGGAAGCCTTGTGATTTCCACTTAAAAGACTATTATAATAATCCGAGAGATGATAAATGCGTGGATCGGTGCCATCTAGACAGGATGGGCTTGGTTTTGCAC